GTCAGCAGCCTTGCTTCGACTTTCCAGGTGGGTAGAAGGCCAGTAGCCCTGCACAGAGGAGGTGCTGGCAGCCCTGGCCCTGCAGGCCGGTAGACAGGCAGGCCAGCAGGCGGCAGGCGGCTCAAGCTGAGCAGAGAACAAAGCAGTGGGCCCAGCGGGTAGTGCCCGGGCTGTTTGGGTCCTGAACCAGGAGCAGCAGAGAAGCCAGTTCCCATGCACTGATGCCCTTCTTCTCTCCGGGTACCAAGCACTGCAGCAGAAAGGGCACTCCCTGGCTGTACAAGGGAGCTGGGCAGCCTCCCAGAGCTGGCCCTGGCCCTGCTGTGACGTGGGCCAGTGACTGCCTTCCCTGGGCTTCAACCTCGCCATGTGTCACATGGCAGGGCCGGACTCACTGCTGTCTCAGTCCCACTCAGCTCTCAGGGGTTGGGAATGAGGCACAAAACCACCACGGGAACCAGTAAACATCTTCAAAGTGTGCCAAGGATGCTGTGGGTGGAGCAATACAATCAGTAAGTGTGCCTTCCTGTCACATGGTCACTCCCTTTACCTATAATTCTCACTCCCCTACAGCTGCCTCCTGAATCCCAGTGCGTCCTCTAAGCATGCCTGTGAACCTCCACTGCCACATGGAGGAAACTTACATCTCATAGCCCTGTCTCCCAGAAGCCCTTGTGGTGATGTCTTGGGCTGCTTAGTGCACGGTTGGCAGTTTGAAACCACCAGGCACTCCATAGGGGAAAGATGGGGCTTTCCACTCCCACAAAGAGTTACAGTCTCAAACTCACACGGGCAGTTCTACCCTGCCCTATAGGGTTGCTATTGGGTTGGCATCTGTGTCAGTGAGTTGAGTTCATTCTTTGCTCTCTCTGGAGCAGAGATCCAAAGCCAATGGGGAGCAAGGATGGCAGAGAAGGGCAGGTGCCAACCTCCCGTCGCACAGCACCACGCGATCCTCATTTCTACCTGTCGATTCATTAGATTTAAAAGATAGGGGGTACACAGGAGGTATACGAAAATATGCATGCAAATATGTGAGAGTAACCTTTTTTGTGACGTCAGAGGTCAGGTCGCTAGGTGACGCAAACAGCTGGTCTGCACTCAACCGCGAACCTAAGAGTTCGCGCTGTGAAGCCGCCCCACGTCCTGCGCTGCAGGAGAAAGTCCTGGGGATCTGCACCCAAAGATTCTAAACTCACTGCCTTCGAGTTGATGCTGACTCACAGGGACCCAACAGGACAGAGCAGAACTCCCTCTGTGAGTGTCCCAGACTGTCCCGCTTCGTGGGAGTAGAAAGCGCCATCTTTCTCCGGCAAAGCGGGCGATGGTTTCGATTTGCTGACCTTGGGGATCACAGCCAAACACATAACCACTTCACCCCCAGCGCTCTTCCCCTAAAGATCACAGGAAAGGAAACTCTTAAGTGTTCCCACTCTATGACGCATGCAGATTGCCACGAGTCAAAAGTGACTAACAACATCTCTACCCAGATCCCTACGTAGACAGGTTTATAGGTGACTATATAAACAAATAAGCCAAAGAAATAGGCATCTGGGTCATCCGTGCACACAGCTGGACATATAAGCACTGCTGGCCATCAGGAACTGGGACGTGCCACCAGCTTGTCTCCTTGTCAATTTCCGAGTGTATGTATTTCAGGACTTCAGCTGACCTTTGGCTAATGTTCTGGGCTGGGGCCTTCATGGGGGTTTAAGGGCCAGGGAAGGTGCAGGGAAAAGGTGGCAGGTAGTGGACTGACTGTCCACCCTTTACACGCCTCCAACGCAGACGGATAACATAACATGAGGCTGTGGATGTCTATCCAGGAGGCCTGGTGGCATAATGGTTATGCATTGAGCTGCCATCCTCAAGGTCTGCAGTTCGAAGCTACCAGCCTCTGTGCCATAGAAAGACAGGGTTTTCTACTCCCGTCAAAGAGTTGCAGTCTTGGAAGCACACAGGGGCAGTTCGATCCTATCCGGCAGGGTCACTATGAGTTGGCATCAACTCGGTAACAGTGAGTTGGCCGATGTGTTGTTCACTCAAGTTTAATTCACTGGCCTGGGATTACCTGTTCCTTGAGGCAGGGCAGGGGCTGCTCACTGGTTTGAGGTCAGGGCCTTTGTGGATGCTGCCCTCTGGCCAAGTCAGTGGAGTGCCACCAAGAGTGCTATTTAGAATCATCTGGAAGCTTTTAACACATACCTGCATCCAGCCCATCCACTCCCGAGTACCAATTGCACAGGTGTGGAGAGGGGCCAGACATCAGCATGTTTAGATGTTCCCCCTGAAGCAGCTTCCTTCAAGCTGACCCCCGGCCTGTCAGAGTAGAGGCATGCTCCTCAGGGGTCTTCCTTCTCTCCTGGTTTCCTTTCTTGAACTTTTCATTGTGACCGGGATGGGGATTTCCAGAGCAGGCCATCCATCTCCCATTCAACAATTCATACCTCTTGGGGTGCGCCCCCTTCATTGCAATGCCCTCAATGGGACATCACTTGTCCTACTTCCTCCCTGGGCTTCCTGTGTCCACCGCCTAGCCCTTCTTCGTCCCTGGGTGAACGCTGTGCTTTGATCTCAAATGGATGGGGACTCTAAGGTGTTCGTATCTCACTGGTGTTATGGTTCCCCGATAGGTCTGTCCATGGTTGGACTGAAGAGGGAGCCAGGGGATGAGTTTGCTTCCAGACCTGCAGGGTGACTAAGGGCCATAGTCTCAGGGGCTCTATATTGCCAGGTCTTTCCTCTGAAGACCTCGGAGTGGACACAAGCCTCCAACCTCTTGGTTCACAGGCAAGGGTTTTCTCCGCTGGCACCCCAGGGATTCTAAATACTCCCCAGGGCTTCAAATGGGCAGCACAGCACAATGAGATGATATGCTATCCCTGTTTCACAAGCCCGTTGAATGTGAGGCCAAGACATCCGGCTCAGTTGGAAGGGCCCAGGCTCTCAGCAGACACAGAGGGTGGGAGAGATGGGGCTGGGGAGAAACTAAGGCCCTAGCATGCCTTCCCTCAGCAGCTGACAAGCAAGACCAATACTCCCCTAGAACTTCAGCACTAACTAGGCACCCCGAGGCTACCTGCTCCGAATGAAATCCCTCTGGAAAGGGGAGCCCTCCAACCTCAACTGACAGAGAAAAGACCCTCCCTACAGAAGAGCCAGCCTAAGAAGCACATATTCCTGTGAGCCCCCACCCCTCCCTCGACCCCTCCTTCTTCTACGGGAGCTCTGTAAAGAGGGGGAGGCCTGGGCCATCCAATTCAGCAGGTCCATAGAGGCTGCAGTCTCTGCTAACTCAGCCCTTAGACAAACAAACACCCCTTGGCCTGGCTGGAGCTTTTGCAAAGTGCAGGTCTCTGGGGTACACGCTCCGGCCCTCCTCTCCCCGTGTCTCTCCAGCCCTGTTTCTACTTCCTCTGCTGTTTGCCCTTTCACTCATCCCACACAGGAGGAAACCGAGGCAGTGTGTGTGTGTGTGTGTGTGTGTGTGTGTGTGTGTGTTCAGAACCCGGGAACTGGAAGGGAAGTACTAGCCATACAACTGCAGACCACCGGACTCCTCGCTCCCTCTCTGCCTTTACTCCTGGAGACCCTATTCAGAGGAGAACCAGGGGGGAATTAAAGTGTAGGGGGCCTCGCCCCACCGTCCCTACCTCCACCCCATCTCCCACCTACATGATTTCATCACACAACGCTGTCTGAGCCAGAAAGACCACCTGATATAGGAAAATCCCAGGGCTGGGAGGCTGGCTGCCTGGATTCTAGACGCTGCCCAGGCTGGGCTGCTCAGTGGCCTCAGCAGCTACTTACCCTCAGCGTTCCAGGTGGCCCTTACCAAACCAAGGACATGTGTCAGATGCCCTCTCCATCTCCTCCAACTGCCCACCCCACTCTGCTTGGTTTGCTCAGTCGGGGGGGCATCAGTACCCAGGCGCTAGGTGAGGGCGGAGCAAGAGCAGGCTGCAGGGAAAGGCAGGCGAGGCCCCAGAGTGGCTCCATTACCAGGTAATGCTCGCCCAGAGCAACTGGCAGGAGAGCTGGAGCCCGGCGGGACTCTTACGTCTAACTGGACTGTGGAGTAATCAAGCATTTATACCAACGGGGCTCCAGGGGAGGATTCAAAGGAAGAAGTAGACCCCTTTGGCCTGAGAGGAGGGGCCAACCCTGAGGCTGTTAGGAAGCCGGCCCTCCATCCATGGGGATGTTCCTGGGCCCCTCCAAGAGTCAGGAAGTAGAGTTAGCCTTTGCCCCCATCTGCACTGTGTGTGTGTGTGTGTGTGTGTGTGTGTGTGTGTGTGTGTGTGTGTCTAGGAGGGGGTGCAGGAGAGGGACCCCTGGTTCTCAGCCACGGGCCATACCACTCGCTTGGGATGATGATAAATGTTGGTAAGTGTTTGGGGTTGATTTGGGGTCAGGAGGTAAGGTTGGCATTTAGTCTGGGTGGGCCTGAGGATGCTAAGTGTCTGCATTGTGTGACCCCACCAGCAGACAGTAGCAATATTCCTCCCCAGGCGCTCCTGGCAGCTCCCAGTCCAGCACTGCCTCGGGCAGCCTTTGGCTGGGTGCCTCCCACTGCTTGGTCCTCTGACCTCTTCAGGATTAAGCAGAGGACCCCCCCCCCCACCTTCTGCCCTGGGTTGACCAGCTGCTGTCCACCTCAGCCACTGGGAGCAGCTGTGTCGCTGCTGCCACCAGGCCCAAGCTGGCCCAGGCTGCCTGTTAACAAGCTCTCTGACAGCACCAGAGAGCCCAGGAAAGCCCTGGGGAAGACAGGGCAGCTATATTCAGCGACCCAGAGCAGCCCCGGTCAGGCTGGCCCCAAGGAGGGGGACACCAGGGTCACTGCCCAAAGCAGATCAGGACTCCTCCATCCCAAGGGGCTTCATGAAGGATAAATGGGCCAGTAGTCTCCATCACTCCCTAAAGAGCTGGGACACCAGAGCCTGACACTGGCCTGGGAGGTACTGTGGAAGCCACGCCCTCCCCGTTGCCCCTCTCACCGGGGGAGGAGTCATTCGCACTCAGCATCAGGTCATTTGCCCTCTGGATCTTCTCCAGGCACATGGCTTGCTCCTTCTTGAAGATGCAGTCAGAGTGCATGGCAGTGGCCTGCAGGAGACAGACACACAGATGGGTGGGTGGGAGGGAGGGATCTGGGAGGACCATTATAAACCAAGGTCAGTGTTCCGGGCAGGGGTTTGGGGTTGGGGAGCAGTTCAATGCAGGAAGACAATAGTGACAGAGGGATTTACTCACTAGCAAGTGCCCCAAGCCTAGCTTTGTCACACACACTCACTGCCATCCAGTTGGTTCTGACTCATAGCGATCCTATAGGGGTCCTACAGCAACCCTATAGGGCAGAGTAGAGCTGCCCCTGGTGGGTTTCCAAGACTGCAACTCTTTCTGGGCATAGAAAGTCTCCTTTTTCTCCCAAACTTTGTCACAGATGCTGTCAAAGCTTGTCTCAGTGACCAAGCCAGCTGTGTGGCTCTGGATGGTCCCATCTCCACTCTGGGACTTTAGTGTTTCATGTTCGTTAGCAAACAAACAATAGAGCATGCTACCGGGTGCGTCATCATCCTCACCATCTGACGTGTATGTGTTAAGAGCGCTGTGGGTAGACACTACGTTTATCGTTTCCCACTTCACAGAGGCTGAAAGTTCACCACCCACTCAGAGAAGCTAAGTCCCTTGCCAAAGCTTCACAGCGAGTGACCACTAGAGCCAGGACTTCAATGCAAGCCTCCTGACTCTAGAGACCACTAGGCTGCTATTGCACATGAGGAGAGTGAGATCGAGGTCAGGGGAGCGGATAGGCTAAGAGTTTAGCCTCTCCCATCCGGGAATTAGGAAGGAGGCGTATCCTCCAGCAGCCACATGTAAGGCATCAAGGAAGTTTGTGGGTAGCTTCCAGTAAAGGCCCTGCTTGCTTCTTTCATTTACCCATGTTCCATTTTCCAGAGGAGGAAACCGGGGCTCAGAGAAGTAAGGAAATCTCTGCCCAAGGCCACACAGCCAGTTAGTGACAGGTGTGAATCCAAACACAGGACTAAATGACTTCAAAATCCCTGTCTTGCTAATGGGGCGGTGTTGTCCCTTGGTCTCTAAACCTCAGGGCAGGGGTAGTCCAGCAGCGGTGTCAGTGAGCATAGGAGCAGTCACCAGGCATCCCCAGCTCTGACTGTCCACAGGGAGGCAGCCTGTGGTCATGCAGTGAGTTAGGACGAGCACCCAGGGCTCAGAGAACACCATGGCTCACTGCTAGTCTGAACTCCCAGCTTGAGGGGAGGCACCGGTGTCTGCGGACCCTCCCTTGACCCTGCTCTTGCTCAGAGAGTGGACAGGCTTCTGAACTCTAGCCTGATAAGAGACTCGTACACTGGGAAATGGGAGATCAAAAGGGGCCTTCTGAAGCCCTGTCCCTGGGGCTTCGTGCACAGCCGCAGGGTCTCCGTGAACAGGTGAGCAGGTGTGCACTGCAGAACTCTAAAGGCTGCCGCACATGTGGTCATCATCTTGTCAAATCCACCCAGGGTCTTGAACAGGACGCTCCTTTTCTCATTCCCACAGAGGCGCTGCATGGGGCAGCGGAGATACTGCCCCTGATTACGCTGAGATTGCCCAGGGCACAGGAGAGAACAAGAACGCCAACTGGTGGCGGTGGTCCCTTACCATAGGCAGCAAGAGGACAGCGACAGCGGCCAGGCAGGCCTGCGGAATGCCAGTGGCCATGATGTTGCTCCGTCGGGAAAGCGGGCGCAGGTTTCACTGTCCGCGTAGCTGCTGGACCCCCGGGCGTCTGTGCTGAAGAGGAAGACAAGGCTTGGCTCCTGCGGGTGCAGATGAGAGGGAGGAGCAGAGGCAGCCTGGGGCGAGCCCTTGCCCTCCCTCCCCTCCCTGCAGCCAGGCCGCAGCCCCCGGGTGGAATCCTTCTTCCCTGCTCTCGCCCATGCTGCTCTAGATTCTCCTGGGCAGCAGACTCTGCTAGGCACCAGGATGCAGTAGGGAGACAGGCCAGCTCAGCCGAGTGAGACAGTTGGAGCTGGCTCTCTCCTCTGCAGAAAAGGCCTGCCTTCCCACCTCCAATCTTTTCACCCTCCCCTCCTTCCACAGAAAGAGTATATGTGGGACCATGCACATCCTCTTAGAGACTGCCCGGCCTTGAGGACTCGGGGGAGGCATGTGGTGGCATTCTCACGCAGGGGACATGGATGAAAACAGCAGATGCCACCTCAGCATCCCATGTTCACAAAGACAATGCGTGCCCCTGACTTCTGCGCTGGCACTCTCCCCAGGTGCTGGCCCCAGCTAGGAGCATGCAGACACGGACGGTGCCTGAGAACTGGCAGCAACATTTGGAAAGACCTTAAGGTCACTGAGTGACCTCCTGGAGCAGAGTCGTCCCACCAGCCTGAACGGACTATCCATTCTCGACGGTTCTATGTGAGAGAGAGAAGCTGTGCCTTGTAGGGTCACTTTGTTACAGCTACCTATCCCTGTACCCTAACTAATAGACCTCTTTTCATCATTCCTCAACTGACAGATGTGCACATCTGGGCACGTTCCCAGGGAAGAGTCTGGCCTGCTACTAAAAGCCACCATTAGTGTGCAAACCCTCAACCCAGAAATTCCACACCTAGGAATCGGTTATATAGAAACATTTCTACGTGTGCAAAAAGAAATCCAATAACACCTGTGCATGCTGACAGCTCTATAAGGTGGAAACCTGTCAGAGAAGGAAAAAACAAATATTTTCCACTGAAACAAACAACAGAAAAATGGTAAGGCCGCTCCCTGCCCAAGGTGCAAATTTTACAGCACCCAGAAGAAAGGAAGCAGTCCTACTGAGTTCTGGTTCACGCAAGGAAGTGCACTGCAGCAGGATTCAAAACAGCAACAGCAACATGCACTGTGCAGCATCCTCATGATACCAGTCCCCATAACTCTGAGACCAGAAGAACTAGATGGTGGCCAAGAACCACTGCCAACTGCTCAGAATGGATCGCATTAGAACAGTGGTTCTCACCTTCCTAATGCTGCAACCCTTTCATACAGTTCCTCGTGTTGTGGTGATCCCAACCATAAAATTATTTTCATTGCTACTTCATAACTGTAATTTTGCTACTGTTATGAATCATAATATAAATATCTGGTATACAGGATGTATTTTCATTGTTACAAATTGAACACAATTAAAGCATAGTGATTAATCACAAAAACAATATGCATTTATATATTGTGAAATACTTTTTTCTAATTACAAATAAATGAAACTTTGTCTTGAAGCATGGTATAGCATGGGTAACAGTCTGAATATAACAACAGTAAACTACATTGCTACATTTTGCGACAGTATATGTAAAAAGCCAGCATCTTGGTTCCTAAGACCATTGGAAATATGTGTTTTCCGATGGTCTTAGGCGACCCCTGTGAAAGAGTTGTTTGACCCCCAAAGGGGTCACGCCCCACAGGTTGAGAACCACTGCATTAGAAGGTCCTGGATATGGACAGTGGGGTTGTCCCTCCCATGCCTGCACAGGCCCCTTACAGGAGGTTGGGAAAGAAATCAGGTGACCATAAGCGACCTATGAAGACCTTCACTGGGCATGCTCCAATTCAGGCCCCCCCTGAGCCAGGTGGAAATGTATTGCACCTGGGTGGTCCAAACTAGGCCCAGGTGAGCTTAATTCAGCCAATGGAGTCAACCAAGACCTTCAACCACGCCTCCTCAGCCAGAGGTCTGAAATACCCTGGCAGCTTATCCCCCACTCCCAGTCAGTGGCAGGTCAGAGAGGATTAGTTCCTCTTTCTTTTTTTTTTTTTTTTACATACATCAATTGTTTAAAGCATATCCTCTTTTTACCCTGTTCCTGTACCCACTCAGCGCAGTCCCATGAGGTTGCCCGTGTTCAGTTGTGGCCCCAGTCCAGCTTCCTCGCAGCTCGGCACACTTCCCTGTAAAAGTGTGTACCCTTTTGCGATTGTAAAACCTGAAGCTACTCCCGTCCTTCATAAAAACCCACTTAGATTACAAACGGACTTCAGCGTGAATTCTTTCTCATGGGAAGCCAAGAACCAAAGTATTACTCACTGGAGAAATATCACAGATAAGAGTTGGAGGAAAAGGCAGAATAAAATTTAAAATCATATGCAAAAAGGGCAGGCTTACGGGTTAGCTGAAGACTGGTAGAACTCAGGATAGGATGGTCCTTACTCCCCCTGCAGGTCTGGGGCTGAACTCATCGTCAGTCAACGATAGACAAGTCTGTAGGGGAACAACACTGGTCAGGTGCCCCCATCTCGAAAACAATGACCGTTGGATATCAAGGGGGCAGCATTTGCTCAAGGCCCAAGTTCAGAAAGGGGGAGGTGGAGAAGCCAGGGTTAGGGTTCGTGGCATTGATGGGTGGTGTCGCACTGAATGAATGGAAATGAAATATGTAGGAATTGTTCATTGGGAAACTGACGATCTGCTCGGCAAACCTTCACCTAACTCACAACGAAAAGATAAAAGCAAACAGACAGACAGATTGCCCATGGTGTGTGTTAAGAAGGCCCAAGGCCTGGCTACACAATGGAGTACTATGAAGTTGTTAAACAGATGGAGGAGGCGTTGTAGGCTCACAGATGCCCGGTTCAGGTGGCACATGAGGGGGAGGATGGTGTGAGCCTGTTCACTGGCACCCCTGTCATTCGTCCCTGAGTTTTGCACCAGCGGGGAATGCCGCCATTCCCCACTGAGTCCCCGGGACCCTGACGCTCTGCCTAAGCATACTCCCTTCCCTTCTCCTCGTGCCTCCCTGAGCTCCCCCAAGCTCAAAAATCCAAACGGCCACTGGCAGGCCCTGCAGACGCTGCCCTCCTTGCCCACACCTCCTCTGCCTGCTCGCCTTCCCTCGGAGTTGCTCAGGAAGGCCTTGGGCGGTGACATCCCCATGCACAGTGCACACTAGCCACTGGAGCCTCAGCCTCTGCCCCCAGACATGCCCTCCAAGCCCCTGTCAGCTATCATTGTGTCAGTCCTGACCCTCAGCGACCTTTTGCACAACAGAACGGAACACTGCCCGGCCCTGCACCATCCTCACCCAGCGTTGCAGCCCCAGTGTCCGTCCACCTCCTGTGGAGAAGAGATTAGAAAGCTTCGGGGGATTTGGGTGTATTCGTTCATCTCTGCCTGGTTCTTTGTTTCATCTTTCCTGTGAGGTCAATCACATCCATTTCTATCTCTTTATTGGGGTAAAAATCGTGTCTGCGTGTGTGGTAGCCAAACATTTCCCGTTTCATCCATCTTCACAAATCAAGTTCTGCGACATTCAAAAGGATCG